ACCTTTTGATCGAAATGAATGGTTATATGCTTTACAAAATGCCATAAAATGTAGCTTACAAAGAGTTATTGGACATATACCTCCAGTAGTACGTTCTAGTTCATTCTCTTTCACAAAGCACAGTGTTTTTAAAGATGCAAAATATACTGGTAAGTCATTATTAATAGTAATATATACATGACAAATTTTATATTATTGTCACAATATTGTTCATAAAGCAAAATTTCTTTAAAAATTTAAAATCATTAAAAATTATTATAATTCTAATTTTTAATAATTATTCTATAATTAGAATTTTATTTTATAATTATTTTTATAATTAGAAATTATTTGATTTAAAGAAAAAACTGATTACACAAAAATAATATAAAAATATAATTATATTTATATTATTTTATTTATAGGGCGGTGGCTAAATGGTAAACCACATGGTTCTGGGAAATTAGAGTGGTCTGATGGACGTAAATATGCAGGACAATTTCACAAAGGTATTATTCATGGTTCTGGTAAAATGGAAATTCCATCACAAGGTGTATATGAAGGACAGTGGAAAGATGGTCAACAAAATGGATATGGAACAATGAAGTTAGTTTCTGAATAATTGAAATTTAATTCCAAATATTATAATATTTTAAATAAAATATAAAAATATTCTAGATACAATAATGGAGACTTTTATGAAGGATATTTTAAAGATGGTTTACCACATGGTCATGGTGTTAAAAAAGAAGGTCATTTCATGGCATCTGTAGCATCAGTTTATATTGGAGAATGGGCTGCAGGTGTTAAACAGGGATATGGAATTATGGATGATATTATGACAGGTATTTATTATCTATAAGTATTTATAAGTTTTTTATAATCTAATTAAAGATACAAAAAAATTGTTATTTTTTTAATAATTAACAAACATAAATATACCTAGATAAATAATTACTAATTAACTAAGTAATATATTATTTTAGGAGAAAAATATTTAGGATCATGGAGTAATGGTATGAAACATGGTTGTGGTTTAATAGTAACTTTAGATGGTATTTATTATGAAGGATTTTTCATGCAAGACGTTTTAACGGTAAATAATTAAAAATTTTCTAAATTTATATATGTAAATTTAAAAATGTTTATATGAAATGCTTATAATAAAAGGGTCATGGAGTTATGGTATTTGAAGATGGTACTCATTATGAAGGTGAATTTAAATCAGCTGGTATTTTTTATGGTAAAGGAACATTAACTTTTACAAGCGGTGAGCGATTAGAAGGTAATATGAATGGTGCATGGAATGAAGGTGTAAAAGTTATTGCAACATTACACATGAATAAAGCTAATGGAAATATACAAAGTTATTCAAAACCAATGTAAGTTATCAATTAATATTTACTTTAATGAAGTTTTAAATTTATATATTCTTTATTATATAGATCTTTCGGGAAATTATGTGTATCACCAGATCAAAAATGGAAAGCTATATTTAGACAGTGTTATCAACAACTTGGTGTACCTGAACCAGGTTCAAAAGCTATGAGTGTAGTTGATAAGTCTGCTGAGACACAACGTGTTTGGCAAAATATTGCTAGCATAATAACTAAGTCACATCAAAAAGCTTTACAACGAAAAAAGCATCTGACAATTACTAGTATTAGTAAAGAAAAAAATAATGAAGTAATTGATGAATTAGATAAGATTCCTTGTTTTGGAAGAGACAAACTTACTATTCAAAATTATAGTGAAATTCACAAATATCTAATTAAAGCATTTGATAGTTCATATCACCCATTAGGAGCACTTTTAACAGAAGTTGCTGCTGTATATACAGCTACCTATGGTGGTGTAAGAGTTCATCCTTTATTACTTAGTCATGCTGTATCTGAACTTCGTAGTATTACTTCAAGAATATATGAAATAGTTATCTTATTATTTCCGGCATTACCACGAGGTGGAAAAGAATACATATTGGAAACAGAAAAAAACGAAGAAGAAAGGTAAATATTTTAATTAATTATTTACATAAATTATGATTTTTTATTATTTATGTTATTTTATTTTATTAGTCAAGTTATAAGTGCTACAGCAATACTTCATCCAATATTGTTACCTCGTGTGCATTCGGCACTTTTTGTACTATATGCTTTACATAATAAAAAAGAAGATGATGCTTATTGGGAAAGATTAATGAAATGGAATAAACAACCTGATATAACACTTATGGCTTTTCTGGATATTGATCAGTAAGTAATATAGTTAAAAACATAAAACAAATAATAAGTATTATTATCTTATATGTATTATATTTTTTACATCATTTATTAAATTTCCGAGATTTATAATAAAATTTTAGAAAATTTTGGAAAAATTCAAATGTCATGAATTTGAATGAAAACGGATTACCGTATCAAAATGAACCATTCTTCAGCGAAGCAATAGAAACATTACAACAACTGAAAACCACGTTTTCTCCGTTAGAAAAATTATTAGTTGTTAGAAATACATTTGAACAAATGACACAAGTAAGTTAGCTTTTTTGAATATATGTAATTATTATATTATTTGTGCATTAAATCTTATATACTATTTATAATAGGCAGTTCAAAAGCAATTGGGAACTACATATTTATGGACAATGGATGAATTGTTTCCTGTTTTTTGTTTTGTGGTTGTTCGTGCCAGTGTATTACAATTGGGTAGTGAAATACATTTTATAGAAGATTTTATGGAACCTTATTTACAGAATGGAGAACTTGGAATTATGTTCACTACTCTTAAGGTAAGATATCATTTTTCTAGAAAAATTACTTAATATATAGAAATTTAATTAAAATATATATTTTTTAGGCCTGTTACTATCAAATATTACAAGAAAAAATTAACGTGGGTGACTAAATACAACAAAATAATTTCTATACATAAATAAAAGTATAAGTTACAAAGTAAGTTTTAGTAATAATTTATTAAAATACATTGTTAATATAAATAAATGAAATATATGCATTATGTCACAAATTAGTACCTCAAAATATAATATTTAATTGAAACAATATAATTTAATGAAATGTTAAATATTGTAAAACGAATCATTTGTGTATCATAATTGTTAAAAGTTATAAACGTATTTATTATAAATAGTAAAAACTGATGCTAAGATATAAGTAGATATATTATCAAATCTTAAATAAAATAATTTAAATAGTGAAATTACATATCAAATTCTATAAAACTATTAATGTACAGTGTATATATATTTAGATGAATTTAAAACTTTATTTATTTATGCAAATTTATTTCTATATTATTTTAGTTTTCAATTATTTATTTATATATTTTTTTATACATTATTTTAGTTTTCAAAATAGACTAAATATTTGTAAAAAAAAAAGTTGTATACATGAATATATTGTTATAATTTTAAGCATCAATGAATTTCAATTTCAATAAGCATTTATATCATCATATTGCGAAATTTAAGAATTAATTTTTAATATTTCTTCAACTGTTAATTCCAATATTATATACACAATATTGTATAATTATTTAATTTACGTAACTGCCATAAAATATTATTTAATATTAGTTTAATAATCTTTCTTTATTCTATATCATGTTATCAAATTATGTCATTAAATGTAATGTAAAATGAATTATATTTAAACAATATTGATCGAATAATTAATGACATGTTATATATTTATGTTATACATATATTTCACATAACAACATTGCAATATTATATGCAATATCATAATCCTATATAATAATAATAATATAATGATGATCGTAGCGATTAGAATTTTATGTTATACATAATATTGAATATTTATTTTAGATGTAATACATACATACAGCTTGTAAGTATCTATATCAAATCAATAAAATTATATGTTTAAGAACAAATATACTTTATTTGTCTATTAAATATTATATATATATATATATATTTTATAATTTATTTATTTTTATTAAAAAATTTCATTTATTTTTTATAAAAATATAAGAAATTAATACGAATTTAAATTTTATGTATTACACAAATTAATAGTACTTTATTTCATAAAAAATATGTGATTATTTATTAAAAATACAAATGTTTCTTTACATTAAAATATGAGAACAAATTTTAATAAAATAATTATTTTATCATATATATATTATTATTTACATACGTAATATATACAAAGTTAATATATTTATAAAATATTTTTGATCGATTCTAGAGGTTAAAATAAGCACAAAAGTTGATATATAAAAATATAAATCGATATAATCGAGAATTATTTAATAAATAATTTAAATTTGAAGAAATATTAATGGAAATGAAGTAACAAAATAAGACGGAGATAAAGCTATTTCACTATACTTGTGCCTCGCTCCGTCGAATACAAATTTCAATTATTTATATGTTAACTTAATAAATAGGTCTCAACTAATAAATTTTTGTTTGGTCTCTAAAATTGACTCTCTAAACTCGTATTTCTCGAATATATCAATTATCATGTATATGGCGCGAATACGCGCACGTGGTGTTCATTACTCAATCGTGCCAATACATACAAATCTATATATAAATATAATATAATAAATAGTAATGAATAAAAAAAAATTGAGAAAGAAAATAAATCAATTATAAATAAATACATATTTTATATTTTATCCTATTTTTTTTTAAAACAAATAAACTTCAAATTAAGAAAAATTTATACATTTTTCTGATATTAATTATTTAAAAATAATATACAAATTCTTTAAAAAAATTTTTACATATTTTTAATTATTATATAGTTAATATATTTTTACATACATATATATTAAATATATACATACATTAAAATTAAAATTAAATTAATGCTAAAATTATCAAAAAAGAAGATAATTCAGTCTGTGAATTCTTGATGTTTATTTCTATAGTTACTATGTATTCTTTTTAATAAAAAATTATTGAAAATTCAATTTATATATGTTTGTCTACATGTACAATAGTTTTATGTAAAATATTTGTTGAAAAATTTTTATAATAAAATATTTCACATCGTTTGTGATGCGCAGGTTTAACCAGAAACATGATCACGAAGTAATTTAAAGATTATGCGTATATCGTTTCTCTTACTTGAATTAAAACTGTACGTTTAGAAATAGTATATTAACGTAATTATATTTAGATTTGATTATTATAGATATGGAAGTAGTTAGAAGTATATGGAAAAATCCTGTTTTATTATATAAAACCGGACTACGAGCATCATTTAGAAATAGGTATATGATAAGAATATAACCTAAACATTATTTTACTTCATGATATAGTATGGATTAATATTAAATTGTAAATTCTTGTTTTATAGCAGTATTTTTCTTCTTTTTTATTACATTCTAGTAACATTTATTGAAATTATAAAATTAAACTATTGTATAATATTTAATGTTGCATTAAAATATTATTGATTTAGAATATATTTAATTAAATACAAAAATAATATATATATAAATATATATATAAATATATATATATATATATATATGTTTATAATATATATATATATATATATTATAATATATTATAAAAGTTGTGTTCTATCATATTATAAAATAAAAATGTAGAAATTTGTTTATACATAGTCTATTTTAAAAAATTGAATCATATCACTATAAAAGTATAAAAATTTACATGAGAAAAAATATTTGTTAATAAATTCTTTTATATCATAAATAATTATATCAAAATAAAAAATTAATGAACTTCTGATAAGTATGGTTGTTAAAGAAATTATAGATGTTAAGATATATCTCAATATAATATCATGTCTCAAAATAAAATAATTTTTTTGCAGTAGCAGTTCTGCATCAAAAGTAACAAAAAAAGAAGATGTTTCTATACAAGACAATGATTTACAATTATCAAATATAAATACAGATATAAGTACACAAAATGATGTAACATTTAATGCTCTTGTTTCAACTGAAGAATTATTAGCACAAATAGGATTGGCAAGGGAATTTGCAACAGATAGTAAAGTTGAACATCCTTATGTTGATAAATTAAAAAGAGTGCAAATGATTTTATTTGATTTAAGTCATGCTATATTAAAACCGATGCCAGGAAAAAGTAAAGCATTTGAAAGTAAACATATCAATGATTTGGAAGAATGGATAGCAGAATATGCCAATCAACTACCACCTCAAGAAACTTATATTATTCCAGTAAATGATATTTTTATTTTATATTTTTTATTATATAAATAACTTTATTATGTTTTATTTTATATTTCAACAGGGTGGTGGTAAGGCTTGTTCTACATTACATTCAGCGAAAGCAGTATGCAAACGAGTAGAAAGAAATGTTGCATTTTTGGTTCAAGATGGTTTATTGAATAAAGAAGCACAAATATATCTAAATAAATTACAAAACTTCCTACTAACAACATCACGTATTGCAGCCAAATGTGATCAACGTACAGAAAATATTTATATTCCTAGAGTAGAAGTTGAAAAAAATGAGGAAAAGTAAAACTCATGAAAAAAATTTGTAGATTATTTTTCATTATTTTTATTGTAAAAATAACATAACAGTCAAATATTGTATGCAAAATTTATGCGGTAATATTTTTTCTAAATGTATCTTCATAGTAAATAAGTTGTAAATATTCTTTAATGAAATTATAAGTATCAGTTACTGATTATATTCTATTATTGTATTATTAAATGTACATAGTAATTAAAACATTAAGTAATTATTATGTAAAGACTTTTAATAAAATATTATAAGATACATATTTTTCAATTATGATATATTTTTAAATATATCATCATAAAATGATTCTAATTTATGTGATATTTTGTTACTTTTGTTAAACAATTATATGTAATTTTATCAAAATATATATATATTATATTAATTAATTTAAATAATAAGAAAAGTAATTTTTCTGTACTATATATGTACATTAAAAGATTGTTAGAAATTTGCTGTTATATCAAATTTTTAACTATTTATATGTGATACAAAAAATATGAAATAATTGTGTTGTAAATAAATATATAGTTTTAAGCATAATAATAAATCATATAAAGGAATATGTATAAAAAAAAAGGTTATAAGATGATGATAACAATAATAACATTCAGTAAAATTAATTATTTATTCCAAAACTTCGTCTCCTTCAACAATTTCTTTTAAATTAAGTAATTCCAATAATCCTGAACCTTTAGTTTCAGATCTTACTAGTTCATTTATCTCTCTATAATGTCCAGGATCAATTAAACAAATTAAATCTAATGTTCCATTGTCCCATTCTTCTGTTTCTAGTTTTGTTACTAATTTTTCTATTTTATCTCTTAATTTTTTTGCTTCTTTACCCGAACCAAAACTCTGAGTCTCATTTGAGCTCGTTCAAGTGGCATTACAGCTTTTAATTGAGGAATCACATCTAAAGCTTGCTGTTTTGCATTTCGATTTGGTTTTACAGAAAAATGGACATCTTTCATAGCTTTTTCTATCATAGTTATCGTATATGGACGTTTAGTTTCTGGATTTATACATTTATTAGCAACAGTTGTGGCAATATCTTTGAACATAGAATCTAAAGCCGAATGCCTTTCTTTGTCAGAAACTTGAAGTTCTCCTTTTGTAAGAATTTCTTTACAGATTTCTGTTTGATTATCTGTACCAAAAGCTTTTATAAGATCTTCTTTTTTTGCTACTTGACCTTTTGAAACATTTATAAACACAGTGTGTGTTTGTAAAACTTCATCAATATCTTTTTCTCTGAAATGTAATTTTATTATTACAATTATTAATAAAACATAAAATATATTATATGTGTAAAAAAAAAAAAAAAAAAGAAAGAAAGAAGGAAAAAGATAGGATATAAAGACAAAATTTATTTAGGTTAGATGTCAAGTACATATCAACAATGTAACGTACGTTTTTGTTTTGATCGGCTGTCAAAGACTTACAGTTTATTTCTCCAAGAGATAACCTTGTTCCTATAACAAGCGATCTCAAATCGTTTTCCTGCTTTTTTCATACGAACCACGGCCACGTTGGTTAATCTTATTTGATTCGTTGGTGTAAAAATTTTAGACGATTTCGACATTTTTTAGCAAGTATGTATATACGTGACTATAAAATTATAATTCACGTAATTTGTATAATATTCTTTTTATTTTATATACAATCTTATCTAACAATAAGTCTTACGGATGTTTCAAAGCGATTTCGAATTCTCGATTTATAATCGAATGGTTATCACATACAACTTCCTTTGCAATATCGATAGATTTTTGAATTGTTTTAAGATGTAACACGTAAGTCTATTGATGTAACATATAAAATTATATTTATAATGTTTTTGTAAAATTTAAAGGATAATTTTGAATAATAACTTTTAAACTTTTAAAAGTATGCAATTGTGAAGATATATTTTTTAAAACATAATTATAATTATAAATAAATGTATTATTAAATGTGTTTATTAATTATATAAAAATCTATGTAAATATAAATATAAATTTGTAAGAAATTAAAATTAATTTCGTGAAAATCATGAAAAACAAAAAATTTTATACCGATACAATATAATATTAGAATTTTTTTTTATAAAACTCATCTTCAAAGAGAAAGAAAATTTTTTATATTTATTTCAGTTAATAATAATATAAATTATAAGTACAAAATATAATATAAAATTTAAAAATAAAATTTGTTATTTTTGTTTTAATTATGAAATTTCATAATGTTGGTAAAAGAATTGAAATGTTAATTGCTAAGAAAAAATAAAATACGAAATTATGAATTAATTCAAAATTATATGATTGTAGAAAAAAATGATCGTTTGAGATTTTGAAAAATTGTAATTTTCTTTATTCACAATATAAAAATCTGTAAAAAATTATATAAATAATATCATTAGATTTCTACGAGTTGTTTAATTTTCAAGTTACTTTATTATTTAAACAAATGAAAAAGTGTTAGTCACATGACGTCATTATACGATAAGCAAAATCGCGGGCGGTGCGCACGCCGTGATTGTACGCATGCGCAGACTGACCGCTACGTTAGACTGTATCGAATATGGCTGCCGCGAGCGTGATGCCGTTAGAAGTGCGTGAAAAATGATCGTTTTTTCGTGGTTTAAACGATCCGATCGTTTTTACGTGAGTGCACAGTGGCAGTGAGTGTTATCTCCAACATTTCAACAACGTGGGAGGTCCTTATCATGGCGTTGGTTACCGTGCAGCGGTCTCCAAGTGTATCCAATTCCCCGCAGAGTTCGGTGAGTTTTTCTGCTTTGTGCGTCTTTGTCGATAGTTGCTGTCAATTTTGACGAAGAATCCATTGTTTGCAAATTTATTGCTATCATTATTCGAAATACTATGGATTCCAAACACATCAAAAATTGTTTGGCTATACTCAAATAGTATTTTCTTATTTGATTTATTATTATACAATCAATTGAAAAAGGAAATTTTGATAATTTGAAATTCTTTTTTACATAAACGTACATAATAACAATAAAAGGAAGAAACTTATGATCACGAAATAATTATGATATGTTTTGACATTTCCTTCTGATTAAACACAACGTTGCACGAGTTCGTGGTTAATTGTCACTTATCTAATTCGCAAGATTCGCATATCTTTCTATTACCAGATATCATTTGCGAAAATCTATATCTAACAATTTATTATACAAAATAACTGCATGCGTGATTTACTATCATTTCTGATATCTTCGTATCTTCTTGAATTATGCGATTACACGATTGTACGACACGCTTATATACATAGCTAAATGCAATACAACTTATTTAATGATTTATTAAGAAAAATTGGATATCATATTGACGAAAAACGAAAGAAGGGAACATAGGATGAATATTTCTTATTTTTATAAATTTTATTATTATCAATTAATTGTTAATCAGATTTTGTTTTAAATTATTATTAATTAATAATCGGAAGGTATAAGAATATTTCGAGTTAAATAATTAGCTTTTCGTATATTCATATATTCAATGATAATTCGACTTAAATAGTTAAATTGATTTGTTTATATTAATTTCATCGATAACGCAAAGTTTCATCCAGTAATATTCCAAATTCCAAAGTCGTGTAAGTCGTTCTTTCAACACGTTCATTGTTGTCGAAAGAAAACACGTTTCTTCTTTTTCGTTTCGTTTTCCGAGATCGTTTATCGTCATTTCACGTAGAAATCGAAGTATCGCGATCTACCAGTTGTTTATGCACATATATGCGTGTAACGTAGTTAACGTTGCAACAGCAGTGGCTGTTTCAGTATTAATTGATTTACTCCACCTCGTCACACGATATACTGGAGCGATGAAAGAGAGTTGAGAAAGAGAGCGAAAGGAACACGTGGTTCTAGCGTATATGTATGTATTCAAGAACGAGTACCGTGACGAGCGTGTTTTCTTTTCTTCGACCGATAAACTGATTTTGCTGGAATAAATATGCTGTCGATTCTTGCATTTCGTCGGCCCAACCGATCAAATCTCAAACGTTTATTCATCCCGATTACTCGAGTTTAGCCGAACTTTCAAACGATTATTTTATTTTTTTACAATAATTCGGAAAAAATTGTTTGTAAAAATATTATCTCATGAAAAAAAACCTCTTCTTGAATTTTCCTAATCGTTCATTGCTCGTTTCAAAGTTGTTGGAAAAAATTATGTGAAATTTAACGAGAAAAATAAATTTAATCACGAACGAATTATGAATAAAATGCCAAATATTATCAAATATATAGAAATAAAAATATATGTAAGAAAAATTATGTAAAATTCGAGTGGTAATTTTATATCGGATATTTATTAGACAATTTTTATTATTATAAAAACGGAAAATTCCATTTAAATATTTGCTATAGTTAGATAAACACGCGTATCTGCATTTTTCAAATCGCTTTTGCTTTCGATATTCCAGTGTTGTGTCCTCCCTAATGCGCGAAACTTTTGAAAAATTTTCCATCGAATTTTTAAAACGATAATTAAGAATAAGCTAATATATACGAAAATTATTATTAAGACGTTGAATTCAGAAGTGATGCAACTCGAAGAAATTGATATCAATATGTATCAATAACACGATAATACATTAGAAGGAAAAAAAATTAGAAAAAGCAAATAAAATGTTTATTAAATATCCGATATTTGATTTTTACTTAAAATTTCAAATAAATACAACTACGAAATTAGAATTACGTGTATTATATTTATACGAAGTTCGTACGAATTCTTTTAATATTTTTCAATATTATCGTAAAACGAAGTGTTTGAATTCCAACTTTATTTCTCTGATAATGAGATGGGAAATGGTCGTTTTTTTTTCTTTTCTTTTCTTTTTTCATTATCCATCAGGGTCAGTTTATCCAGATACGAGAATTTCCGTACGGAGAACCGTTAGAGAAGTAATTTTGCATATAAACGCGACTATCAATTAAAAAACGAGTTTTCT